GCATATTCTAGATCTAAGGAAAATTCACCTGTGATCCGGTCAACGTCTTTGTAATTAGGTGACGAGAGGGAAACCTCCATAAGAATATCTATGATAAAATTAAATAAGAATGGGGATAGTGGGCATCCTTGACGGACACCACTTGATGAGTATAGCTCCCTGGACAACTCACCATAGGCTCTAACATGCCCACAAGTGTTCGAGTAGAGAGCTTTCAATAAGGTGATGTACTTACTAGGCACGCCTTTCAGTGACAGACACTGCCATAAGACTTCTCGATCAACGGAGTCAAATGCCGCCTTCAGGTCGAGAAATACAGCTATTGTCGGGCGTCTGTAAGCATGCCTATGTTCCAGGACCTGGCGCAGTGTGAATATTTGGTCGATACATCCACGGCCAGGTCTAAAGCCTGCCTGGTTTTCTCGGGCTTGCTGTTCCCGAGCTCCACTCAGGCGTCGGAGAATTATAGAACTTAGGATCTTAGACACTATGTTTGTCAGGCTGATTCCTCTGTGGTTATCACAAGAGGACTTCTCGCCTTTCTTGAAGACTGGGATGATCAGTGACTTAGACCAGTCGGAGGGGATCGTATTTGATTCCCATATACTGGCTAACACTTCCGTTAGCCTGACTAAGAGAACTCTACCACCATTCTTGTATACCTCAGCAGGTAGTCCGTCTGGTCCTGCTGCCCTTCCCCGTTTCAGGCTACCTACCGCTTTCTCAACTTCTTCTAGTGTTGGGGGACCTGTCTCTATGTCCCATTCAGGGTCCGACTGGATAGCGGGCAGCGCAATGGTGGCTGGAGGCCAGTTAAACTGTTCCTCAAAGTGTTCTGCCCATCGTCCCAGTCGCCTTCCCTGCGAGTGAATCGCCGATCCGTCCTTCTCCGCTATAACCTCACTAACTGTTGTTGACCATTTCCCCCCAGTCTCCTTAATAAGTCTAAATAACTGTCTACTGTTACCGATCGCCGCTGCCTTTTCCATCTCTTTAGCCTTTGCTGCCCACCACTGTTCACGATCGTTGCGCAGACTTTTCGTCAGTTTATTTTTAAGTTGCGCTCGCTCTTCATTGTACTCAGAGCCTGCAGGGATGCATTCACGTGCATCCATTAGTTTGGAAGAAGCTGCTGATATCCACTGGCTCTTTTTAGCCATTATCTTGGAGTCGGCTACAGTCTCCAGTGCTGCTTTTACAGTAGACTGAAGATGGCACCAAGCTTCTTCTGGATGAGTGACAGTCTTTTGTTCCGATAACTGCCTAGCCAACTTCTCACTGAACACGGCTTTGGTGTTTTCGTTGTCCAGCAGAACTCGTAGTGGTTTTGTTGCCAAATTTTTTCTACGTCCATTGAGACGCAGGCATATACGTGCTCGGACCAACGCATGATCGCTGTCCAAACACGTACTCCAGAAGGAGCGGCAGTCTTCCACCGATCCTCTCCAGCGATGACTAATAGCAATGTGGTCTATCTGTGTCCATCGCTGAGTCGAGCTCGGTGGACGCCAGGTCAGACAGTGCCTTTCTTTATGTCTGAAATTTGTGCTGGCTAAAAATAGGCGGTTATCTGAGCATAGTTGTAATAGGCGATCACCGTTATCTGTACGTTCAGCTGGGATTCCGAAAGTGCCACCTAAGTGCCTTTCTGCCTCACTCAGTCTACCCACCTGTGCGTTGAGGTCACCTGCAACAACCACTACGTCCGAACGTTTGGCTTTCGAGAGGAGGTTAGACAGTTTATGGTAGAACTCGTCCTTCACTTCATCCGAACTACAGTCAGTGGGTGCGTAAGCAGAGATTACAAAGAGACAACGGCGAGTCTCACTATTCCTTTTAGTTCTCACTGTGCCGTTCAGCCTCATAGCGCAGAGGCGACTATCAACTGGGATCCAGTCTAGTAGTGAGTTTTCTGCCCTGGTGCTTAATGCTATACCTACACCTGCAAGACCACGAGAGCTAGCTATCGAATCTCCAGAAACTCGAAGGGTGAATTTTGCAGATTCACCAGATTGGTCAGGAGAGGTCAGGTGAATAACCACACTTGGGTCCTGTATGCGTGTCTCACAAACACAGCACACATCCATGCCTCGAGTTGCTAGAGTCTTTGCCAACGAAGCCTGTTGGCCAATTTGACGGAGGGTGCGGACATTGAAGGCTCCAATATGTAATTTGGAGCGTGGTTTAAGGAGACCAGGGACGCTGTTCTGTGGACTCAGATCGTTGTCGAAGGCTGCAGAGGTAGGAGAAATTGAAGATGATGCAGCATCATTAATTAAGAGACGTGAAGGAAGATTAGAAGGTAATGATGGAGGAGGAGGATAGCAGTCAGAAGAAACTTGGGTGCTGACAGAGTTGTGAGGGCGGTTGACACTTCCCGGCTGCCCACACCGTGGAAGGCTATTTCTTCTTAAGGTACCTGAAAGAGATTTGTGTGACCGCAGAGCCCATCGGACATCTGCTTGAGGCCTGTCACACCCAGCCTTTTGAGTATGATTATTTTGAATTTTTGTATTTTTGGGGCCGGATGAGCGAAAGGAAACGACAAGTGAACCAACACCGCCGGCCCGGCAGACCGTGGGGCGTGGTGGAGTGTGTTATTTTTGGGGCCGACCTTTTCTAACCCCCCCTTCCACTGAGAAGGCAGCATCAGCTTGGCACTGCTGGTCATCCAAGGGAAACACCTTACTGCTGTCACACCCCATCCAGCTAGCAGCAGTACGACTTCGCCCTCAGACCCCCATCATAGTGTAGCAATTTACACTATGACGGTAACTGCTTTTCGTCTAACCACTACCCAACAGACCTTTCTGGTATGGTAGGACCTCGAGGGAACAAGCGTTCCACCAGCATAGCTCGTTGGGTCATTGTGATATGCAAGCCCGACCACCACGTCAAGGTAGCAGCTATCGGTCGGGAGTGGTGCGAAAAGGGTGACAAAAACAGTATAAAAATGGAAAAAAGAACATTTAAAAATTCATAAGTAAGGTGGTTCATTGAGTCTTCCTTCATCAAGGCAGCAATGGAGGCTGCACAAATTTTTTTTGAATATAAAGCTTTAGACTGTTCATCTGAATCCCTGTAGCTTCAGCTATATGTGAAAGGAGAGTTCAAACTCCGTCGGAAAGGTTCAGTGGGATGCGGTACATCAGTTTGAACGCTTTCGTCTTTTCCGCTATGTGATCACTATCAACTAGATGAGACAAAATAGAGCTTCTTATAGATGCAACCTGTCTTGGTTAGGTTGCCTAGTTATACGCCCAACTTAACTGTCTCCACAAGAGCAATTAAATTGATAAATATGCATGGGAGTGGCGAAAGTCGGTAACTTGACCTTCATTTGACATGAAACAATTCGTCGACTAGAAAACGATGAATAAAGATTAGCTACATAGAAAGTCTTTCTAATGGTCCTTGGTAGTCTGTGAAGTGGGATCCCACTAATTATATTCTCATTAAATTGTAGCCTTCTGAAAAATGGTTTCTTTAGAACAGTTACTGTCTCAAGTCTTCTACCCAATCTATTCAAATGGCTTTTTACAGAACTGCAAGGTCGATCTACTTTAGTTGGTGAATTAGAAATGGACTTCAACTCACTCTGTAGTGTCGTCTGAGCAGATTTTTCTCGATTTAGTCCATATCGCTTTCCAGTGTTTTAAGCTACAAAAATCCACTGTAGATCAGTGTCCATTGCATGAGTCGGAAGTAAAAGTGGTCACAGATACAGGTACTCTCAAGAATAAATCCTACTGAATAAAAGAAAGATATTTAAGAACAAATTTATTTTCAACGAGTTGAGCTAGAACACCTTTTAGATAGCAAGAGGAATATTACATGCTCCGTGTCCTCAAGGATTAGAAAGATATGTACTAACGACACTATGAAGCATGAATTACAAACTCTTCGTTAAACGCTTACTAAAGAAAGGTTATCCATCCAAATTTTTAGATCGAAGCATATAAGGGAAGAAAGTTATCGAACGGTCCTGTCTACCTGTGATGAAAACCCTTCTACCGAACACCGAGTTCAATGGTGAAATGGTCATTGCTATAAAAAAGATCGCATTGGACATCACTGTGTTGAGAAACGTTACAGAATGGCATCGAGACTCTACCATAAGGTTAAACTCTTAAATAAGAATTGGAGCTTCAGAGACTCAACTAGTTTGGAAATACCATTTCAAACAATTCTGAAGGCTAATATCAGTTCAGTATTCCTGATAATAAAGATGAAAATGAAGGCGGTGTAGATTTATGTACTAGAATGTGAATTACATTTACTGAGTGCAAGCTTATGATGTTATCCGGTCACCCGAATTAAAGTAGCTGGAGTGGGCTTTGAACTCATGAAAGTCAAATGTCCCCACCGATGAGCCACTTTTGTGAAAGGGTTTACTTAACTGAATTTCGACTGTAATGAAAACCACTTTAGAAACAAAATGAATACCACAGACAGACAGTGTAAAAAAAGAAAAGGCTTTAGTTCTTTGGCCTACACACTCGACTTGTAAGCAATCAGACACGAATCCAAAGCCTGATGCATCCACTGAGGCTAGAAGAGCTAAATATTACCATGGGTTGTTGCATAATGAAAGTGAACCATTCCCCAGTCCATAAAACTGCACATGGTTGCTTAGTCAAAATATTTTTATCCCAACTTTGATATTTGTAGTCCAACTATCTGTGTTGACATAAATATCAGCAATAAAATTATACAAATTTAGGATTTAAAAAAAGGCAACTATACAACATCAGTCACTTAAGATACAGCAATACGATATACACAACTTAGAATATTGGGGAAAGTAATAATTTTTATTTTCATTAGAATGATTCAATACGAAATATTGGCCAAGAGGAAAACGTGATTAACATTGAAAGTCTAGATTCTGTTATATAACGACCAAGTAGACAAACTCTCTAGTGTCAGTCATTAATAAAAAAAACACATTCATCTGAATGAAATCACATGTAAAAGTGCAGCAATAAACTAAACCTTACTTCTGCTGATTCCAACACATGACAGATCATTTTAGTAGGCTTTTTTAAATCCTCTAAAGTTGATTTTGTTAATTCTGAAATATTGGAATCTGATGAATTGACTGGACGCTCAGAAGAACTAGAATTTTGATTGTCATTATTGTTTTTGATAGTGTTACCATTACTGATACCGATATCTTTTATTTCTTTTTCCTCAGTATTCTCATTATTATTTTCAGGTAGGTCAGATGGTGTCGGATCTGGTCGACGTGACATAAGGACAAATAATTCACCGATATCAGCAATATAAGAAACTGTACGCAGAGTATGATCAATTAAAATATCCTAGAATACAATTTGATAAGAAGAAGATAAAAAGATAATAACTCGGAAAACAAAACATTTTTATCTGTCTGCTAATTTTTAAGTCATTGGTTCAAACTTTTTGGTACTTGTTTTATACTTGGAGAAACTTTCCAACACAGAAAAATCTTAATATACTAAGATGAGCTCACAGAGGAACACAATACAATAAGTGTGGTTTCTAACTTAAAACACAATCCTTAACGAGATTACAATATGAGTGAATTGATAAAACTTGTGACACATGACAAAAATGAGTAACAAGCATAGTGTTAAACCAATTTAAATCAGCCTAAATACTCATGAAAATAGTTGAAGTTACTAGTTATCAAACCTTTTTTCGCAATATCATTGACTGGAAGTTGAAGCGATACAATAATAATAACACAAAGCTATGGTTGAGGAGCTAAAATGATACCGTTTTCTGATGATGATCATGATGATCAAATGATGCAGAGTTCCTACAGAACACTTTGAATTTGCGTTTTTCATAGCCGCCACTATGCTATCATGATTAAGATTATCAATAGATAGGAACCTCTTAGCAACGGTAATGCTTAATCTCTAATTTTGAGTAAATTCATATACTACAACAGAAATCGAATTACCCCATAGTATTCATCATCGATTGATATCGGTTAGAAAACTAGTGAAAACCTGGGCGTATCGGATAGCTGCTTTGCGCTAGTATGATACTCCTCCAGAGGTGTGCACCTGCAACCCCACCATGAAGCAAACTAAGGACTGTCAGGTACTGCAGTAAGCACGTTACCATTCAGCCGCCACTGGGTCCAAATCCAATGGCCCACATTTTCCTACTTCTGCCAATTTCTGAAATCAATCAATCCCTACAAACCTCTAAATAGAAATCAAATTTACTGGGACTAAAATATCTAAGTGGTGGCTTACCGATGTCAGAGTTGAATTATGACAATTTCAATCCCCATCAAAGCATAAGTTTTCTCCAGGTACAAAAAGCTACCGCTTACTAACGAATAACATTCAAGTATAATACATAGACACAATTTCATAACGATTGCCAGAGAAAAAGCATAGACTGTACACTACATCGAAGGATCATCTTTCCCGATTTATTTGTCAAATAACATTCTGCAACTAGCCCAGACTAGTCGGTACTACCAATAAGAATTGCGTCGAACAGATCATTTAATAAATCTTCTACCAATATGAAATGCTACTTCAAGAAAAAGCTTATATAACATATGAACACTTAGGCATTGTTTGTTCGATATTTCACAAAACAGACCCTGTTATTCTCGCTACCTAATTCTCATGTCCACAATTATGTTAACTTAGTCGTCAACTTGCACCGACGCAGTTTACCACTGTTATGTAGCATTAAAAGTATCATAATTTATTAAAAAATTATCGACAATTCTCTAACAGCCAGAATATGCGGTAATAAAAATTGCTCTTCTTTCATATAAAACAAAAGTTTTCACTGACAAGTAATATGGCGTAATCCAATAAAACCGAACATTGTTGAAATACGACAGTTACGAATCACATATGATGTATCCTTATTATATAATACTACACAATTACTCAACAATCTAAAACTGTTGAAACGTATAGGTATCTGTAAGCCTTCAGACAATATACAGACCTGAATTCAAGGATATACTTTACAGCAAACAAACAAGTATTCTATTGATCGCTGATTTTCGTCAGTTTTACAACTTATACCAAGTTGCTTTATCGATACAACATTCAGCTTGGCTTCAAAAGCTTTAATTTATTAAATGCAGACACAGTATCATGAGCACATAAACCCGTAAAAAGCGGAATAAATATAAATTAAGAAAATGATACCCTACACAGTATATCGACTCACTTCAAGATTAGCATTCAGTATCATAATACGCTCTGTAGAAACAAACAATTCAACTGTTACACTCGGTTGAGATTCCTCATCTGGAGCCTGAAAGTAAAGAGACAAATGTTGGAAAGGTAGGTGATGAAATTAGTTACAGCACAAAAAGGAGCAGCGATGCATAATTGCATGCATATAATATGATATGATGCATTCCAGAGTGGAGTTTATGAACAAAATTTTATATTTCTACATAAAAACCTTGGTTACTACGTACTCATGTAACATATTGTAAAGATTAATTCATCCCAAATCTATAATAATGGACATTTAGTTTTACGTGAATTGTTAAACAGCATTCTACTGAGACATCCAAGGTATTCTACAGTGTTTACGCAATATACAATCAGATGTTAGTCAATACATATTACAGTTGGAATGAGTCCGTTCACTTCGGGTGATTCACAGTGCTATAGACATGCAATTCGATACACAAAAACGATTCTCATGTAAACAAGAGTTTAAAGATGGTTATGCTTAAGTTCATCTTTTTACGTGTTATACGGCACAAAGAAAAGGTATAAATAAAACCGTGAAATGAAGAATATAAAAATATAGATAGAAAACCGCTATTGATTATTAGCAAGTGTTATACATGTACATATTTACATCACATACACAGGTATACACTCGTATTTCAATGCATAAATACTTGAAAAATACTACAACAATCAACATGCTAAAATGTGAAACGAAGAAGCAGTTACACAAACACAAACAACATGAATTTTTTTTAGCTTACACCCTAGATATAAATGTAAGAGAGAAGAAAAAAACAAATACCAGCCATACTTTTACTGATAATTTATATTCATTCAACACCAACAAAAAGTTATGTCAGTAACGGGTACATATTATTATCTCTGAGTTTCCTAAGTTGTTTGCTAGTAACAAAACTAGGAATAGGATGAAGTCAACAACATCTGCATTGCAAACTGGTTAATGTCGAACAAAAAACTAAAAGGGGATTTAGCAGTTCCTCTTACTGGATTTAGTAGACATGTAACTCATTAGCTTAAGCACTTGACCTTCAACAAATAGGTTTCGGATTCAAATCGCGCCCCACCTACTGCGACCACAACAACCAGGTAGCCTCAGCACCGTAAGTGACTCACTACCTAGTAAATATACAATTGTACTGGGTCGAGCAGAACTATGCCATTAACTGGCTTGTTGGTCTTGCTAGGCTTTTCGGACTAGCTAGACGAATGAGAGCTCAATCTGAAACGACTACAACGACAACTTTTGTTAAGGACTAAAACTATCTTGATCTGCAAGAAAATAACTGACTGTTTTGTACCGCATCACTTATATGTTAGTAGGATTGTTCATTTTGGAGCGTTGGCTATTGTCACTTAATAGATTAATTTTGAATCCAATATCCATTTTGATGGCTCAGAAATGTCTTCTGTATGTTGTCGAAGTGGTTTTCCTATTAATCAGTGCTGAGTGATACTGCGACTTGTCAGAAGAAGCAGGAGGTAATTAATTCACAATATGACACAAAATCAAGGATAGATATGTTATATTAGGATATTTTGATGTATCACTACTACCTAAGTGAAAATTAAAGGATAAAACCACTAAATACCTTTAGCCATCATAAAGTATGGCGAAAATTCCAAAATCTACGATAACCAACCGTGCAATGATTTCCTGTAATATATTTTTGATAAGAAATACCAAAATAGTAAAAAGTGCTTCAGTGTGAATGCAGTAGTATCTGACTGCAGCAATGATTGATTCTGAAAGGATTACCGTCCTCTTGAGGTTGCAAATACACCATGCTGACGAATGCCAAGAAGCACAAAACCTAGTTCCAAAGCTTTTTGACGATTGTTTTTAACTAGCTAACATCAGTTAAAGCGTACAGCTACGGTGGCTACATTTCGAAACTGGTTGACAGAATTCAGTTACCACTTAGGACCAAGAAATATAAAATTAATTACTTCTTCATATCTAACCAATGAAAGTCTCTAATGTACATTTTTCCTCTTCATTATTTCTTATTTTACCTTTTCTTCTTCTTGGATTATACTTGGTGTTGTAATCAAGTCGATAGCGACTTTCTCGATTTTCAGCATGTACAAAGTTTGCATTCAAAAAACAAATTAAAATGACTGTAACAGCCTTGCCAAGATTCTTCAATTCATTAGGAATTACACGTTGTTTGAAGATAATTAACTAATTTCACAGCCTAGTGGATAACGAAAGGTTTATCAGTACACTTAGGATAAGAAAATACAAGTGACTAGTACAAATAAGTATACATCATTCATGTAATTTTATCGCTACGAACCCAAAAAAGCAATTTCAAAATCCTGATATGGAGCACATAAGAAGTTTATAGACATACAGGTATCAATACAACTTTTTCTGCAGAAGTTTACAAAAAAGAAAGATTCACAATTCACGACGACATCACAACTGATATGTGCGTTTTTGCTTCGTAGTCAAATATTTAATCAACAATTACAGGGTACAAAGCGACTTTATCATCGTCTAATTATAATGAATTTGTCACTTAATTTTCCACTCCTTCATAACGAACCAAAGGAATATAGTAATATCCCCTCTTTAGTTTTCATGCAACAAAATGAGGGTCATACCTCAGTTTTGTAACATGCGAGTAATTGCTGAGTAACAATTATGGTTATATATCACTAGTTATACGTAACAGGTTCACAGTAGTAAGTGGATCGAAGTGTAGCGAACCCACACAACCTAAAATACTCACAAATGATGTGAAATAGTCTTGAATAGATTCAACTTTTGTGTTTAGGAGGGAGTCCCCTACGTCTTACACTATCTGGTAACGCATAACATCAACACTCATCAGTAAAATAAACCTTATAGCTTGAGGACGACCATTGATCTTCTGGACTTGAAGAACAACCAGTAGGAACTCTAATTAAAAGCGTAGTTCATTAATTACAATAAGACTGCGAAAGAAAACAGCTAAAAACAAAAACAAATTACACAAAACAAAACATAATGTCATTCCACTGTTATCATTGTTGACTAAGTTTTTTGTTGGAGTCACATGATGTGATCAATAGTCTAAGGAGGTAGATATACAAAAATGCGGTACTTGCCAGAAATTACTGTTAGGCTATAGCAAGCAGAAAAGGTTAGAATCTCGGAGAAAATGTATCCCTTATCAACGACCATCAAAAATCACAGAAGCCCAACGCTGACTGCTTTCAGTCACGTAAATCCGCATCAACTAAGATCAGGGGACAAAGTTAATGCATTCTACTATAAACTAAACAGTGACACGCACATTTGAGTAGTTTATATGCAAGTATGCAAACTTTTTAGTTTTATAAAAGTAAATAGCTAGTATACGTTTTCGGAATAATAAGGGAAATCTAACCTTGATACGGTTAACCACTTCTTGGGCTTGAATCATACGGGACATGCGCGTCGAGTGTTTATTGCACATAAGTTGAGTACTTCCCATATATTGTGCTCGGAATAATAACCCATGTATAAGAATATCCGGATGTTCGGGATGCCGAACAGAAACTGAAAAAAAGCAAAAATATTTTTTTAGAATTGTAAATAAACAGAAGCAAAACAGTATTCTATGCAGAAATGAATGTGTTAAGGAAACAAAGCACATTTGAGAATGATCTACGAAATACGAAGATAATGCGACAGCTAGGGCATATCAATTTAAAGAGTCGACCAATGGGTCACGAGTTCGAACACTGCCCCGCCTACCGTGGTTTGGATAACCAGGCAGTGTCACTAGCCTTCAGACAACAGGTGTGACTCACTGCCTACTGCATGAATGTGTACGAGGTTGCTGAGTGCATTTCAATTTGATTTTCCATAGCAACACTGTACAAGTATCTCCTTTCTTACACAACCTTATCAATTTTCCCATTAGAATTCATATTCTCACTGTTCATTACGAAAGTAGCAATTTAGTTCTCCAGTATGTTTTAATTAACGTGTTTCCGTTATACAACAATTTTTTTTATTTCTGTCAGACAGCCTTTGGACATAACTATTAAAAGTGGAGAAGCCTAATGGTGTTAGTTCTTTAACACGAGAAGAAATCAGAATTATTAACATAGATAAGAATGAAAAAATAATGTAAGGGGCTATGAGCCATACTGATTGCATGGTCGAAGATGGAGTGCTACATTTCTGGAGCCACATCTCGATGAGTCGAAATGAGTTAACAGTTATTGATCGCAACGAGAAGAAAACACCTATAAACAGAACAAAAAGTCAACTGATCCTACCAGTTATACCAAATGAAACAAGAAGAGTGTATTAATATCCTACAGCATGATATGTATTAGTTGTAGTTTGGTGACTTGAGCAACCCATTCATTACATTTGAATCGGTAACTACAAATCTACTCCAATTTGTTTTAGACAAAGCGACAGCACTATTGACTTTTATAAAATACAAACCCTATTTACAGTTACAAAGCAAAATACTTTTACAAAACATAATAAGGTCTAATACTATAACCACATGTATAGATTCCAATATATAAAGCAACAATTCAACAAAGAATACTGCGATGAAACGTACCTTCACGAACTCGGCGTTGACGATCAGTCTGTAGAAGTAATGAAGAAAGACAATGCAATCACAAGGTAACTAAAAGAAGTTTGTATACTGAAATAATCAGGAATGTGTGTCATATGGGCTATTAAAACATACAGGATAGCCAGAACAATACACCATCAGTGCATGAGGTTTATAACTGTTGGTCTGAGCCATGTAAGGAGGTATAAGCTGCTTGGTTGGGGTCTTCTAGAAGATAAGAATCAATGGTTGGGGAGGTTTAGTGACATAGTTGAAAAATCGTCACAATGGTGCAGATATATCCATTCTTTGATGGCTTGCGATGTTTGAAATCCTTCGTCAATCTTGATTTTTGAATTCCTTCACACCCAGTACAGTTTTGTCTGCTTTGATATCACTCTTTTTCGACATACATATGCATTAACTGATCGCTACCAATAAATAAAATCACTTAATGACAAAACGTGTAGTGAATTATACTGCCTGATATCATATAATGAATGTTGATATAAATACCCCAGCTAATACTGTCATATTTATCTGGATCTAGCACAAATTAGATAATTCATTATCAAACGCATAATGAGACCGATTGGTATTTGCATTGATCAACTTTTTAGTAATATGTACATCAGCTAGTTGACTGTACTTTAAAAGCTGACTGTAGACATTTATTTTTGTCATCATTTAAGTATTAATTTGTATTTACTATTTACTGAATTAGCAAACATGTGATACTATATATATATATATATATATATATATATATATATATATATATATATATAGCGAGTTTTGAAGATTCCTATTTCTACGAATAAAGACAATCTGAACGAAGAATATTCTTTTCAATAATTTCTCATCAGGCTCTACAGTTATAAAATATAATTGTTCAGTATAAAACAAGGTCCGGTTTGAAGCAAATACAAAATCCGATGTAAATTAGGGACAATAAGGCAATCAACTTTCCCAACCCAATCCATTTTTGGCAAAAGTCGCACGCCAAGGTAAGCAGTGCCTGAGCACTCACGACACACGCATCCGAGCCAAGTCAGTCACAGAGTTTTAGAAGTAATTCGGCTAATAACCCCAAAAACTTTAATCGGATCAGATGGCTAGGACATGTGTTACGCATGCCTAGTCACCGTCTACTTCGTCGTGAAATGTTAGCTGAGGTAGGTTAAGGGTAGAAAAGGATTGAAGATGACCAGAAAAAAATATGGTAACATTCCATCCAGTCTCTGATTGTTGATCTGAATCATGTAGAGAAATGACGACTTCTATGGTGGAGATTGCATGAAAACCGAAACCGGCGGCTGAAGACTAAGTGATATAGCTTAAAACTGATCTCAGGGCCACAGATATATCCAGACATTATCTTCATTCTAACGGCTGGATACATAGCATTTTATTAGCGCTTTACCATGCTCTTCCTTTCTTATACCTTTCGACAACTTTCGATCACTTTTCCTGCTTATTTCTCTGTCCCTCATCTTGCGGCCTTGTGTCTTGATGAGACGTGTGGAAACTCGGACCGTTACGCAGTATTGTCAAGTCCAATGTTGATATTGAATAATCACCATACTACGCTACAGAGCACTTACCATGTAGATCAACCACGCCTCAAACTATGAGTCACACCACTACTGTGAGCGCTACTGACAACGTATATGCTACTGATAAGAACTGACTCAAAAATTATATGGTGAAGTGTGTTTGTCGATAGTCACAAAAGCAGAGAATCAGTCATGAACGTTCTGAACAGAGAAACAGGATGAACCGAAAGAAGTTAGAAGATGAAGAGGAATGATCTTTGTGAAAATGAAATTCATTATAAGGCTCTAATATGATATATTACATTAAACTTCATCTGTGCCACCAGCGTCGTTCTCATCACTACTACTTGCCTTTCCAAACCTTTGATAAATGAACCTGTAACCCACCAGCTGAGTGAAAGTTAAGTGCCTACTCCAATGAATCACAATTATCTAAATTTCAATTTAGTTGAAACAGAAAGTACATAACCTTCAACTTAGTATCTTTCTGTTGCTTTCTCCTAAATATACTTCATTAGAGTTTCAATAGGCTAAAAATGTAAACTATGTTGGTACGGTCACTCGCAACATAAATCAGTATCGTTTTTCGATGAAGAAATTAAACTTTTTCGTTAGTGATAATTTAGAGACAGTTCAGATGCACTGCTGATAGGGTTTTTTGGCCTACATATCTGCAAATATGGAGCACAATTTTATATTTGCGATGTCAGAAATTAAGAAGTTTAAATCCAGATCCTTCTTATCAGCGCTCTCCAACACGTTAGATGTTGGATGTTTACAAGCATGAAGCCATTGACCAACGTTTCAAATATGTCACTTTGCCATCAAGCTGATCTGAATATTTCCGTAGCAGTTTCTGACCTCAGTACAGAGTGATGCAAGTTTGAATCATCAAAAAACATCAGTTTTCTGATGGTACGCCATGTTGATGAGTGTCAACAAGCATGAAACATAGGTATAAGGAGTCGTGCCAACAGACTGCCAACATCTAACACAGCACTGTTGTGTTATTTAGCTTAATAATCAAATTGGGAAAATGATCGGTAAACTTTGGTCGTTACTGAGCACTAAGGAATATACAGCTAAGTTGGCTATCAACATATATATATATATATATATATATATATATATATATATGGGCATTATATAGTTACATGACATTTGTATACATATGCATACATGTGTAACCAACTTATGAAACGTAATAGTTAGGAAATAAGATAGTCTCTACCTGTATGCAAGATTTGTCCTTCAGTTCTGGAATGTAAACTTGTTTATCAGCTTGATATTGTTTATCCAAAAGTTGAGCAGTATCCTCATCACTATCAAAATCTAATATGATAAAAATAACACGTGAATTTGTAAGAAGCGACAAAAGTAACAATAAATATTATTTGGAACGTTTAAACGTGTGATTGGTTAGAGGGTATTTAACAGAATTTCGGACACTTTTTAAAATAGAAACAGACAGAAAAAATCTTTAGGTCGGTTAGGCCAAGAAGTAGTAGTGCTTATAAATTTGCTTTCTGTTGGACTTGGTTGCGGGGTGGAAGTGTTAAAATCTCTGAGCTAAGTCCATCTTTATGATTCTTTTTGTATGAGGAATAAGATAACTGAAACTAGTGGAGTGACCCAGACAGGTTTAGTATGTGTTGACGATCGTAATGTTAGTCTATATATTTTGAATATACCAAGATGTACATTTATTTATAGTCCTAGAGTATGCCGACAATTTTGTTCATAATTCGAAGTATCCTCAATGGTCAAATAATACTGCTGGAAAACATGACTATTAACCTACTAGATAACATGAAAGGTATGTGGTTATGGAGAAAACAACATAACAAACACTGGATAAATGATGAATTCAACTTGACCTGAGGGGAAAATATGAGAAAACCAAAAAAAGTAGAAAACTGATATACAATCTATAGTCAGCATCTAAAGAAAGATTTGTGTGTAAAAACAGAAAGAAAGATAAGGAAATAGGTTAGGCTTAGGGACTACCTACCTCTACGACATATAGAAACTGGGCACTTTTTCAAACCTCATAGTTGGATTTCCGGCAAAATTCAATTTCAAGGTTAACGTCCTAGCAACCCAAACTTTGATAATCACACATCGACATACGACATTAGCCCTTCCCGTAATGGTTAAGTATACAGCATAGCAGAGTGCGAAATGTGGTTGTTAAATGTAGAGTACGATAAAAAGCATCCTTGGTGTACTAAAAACATGAAATGCATAGGTTAAAAATACCAAGTGTGCATTGCAAATTTGTGCATGAGAGTCTAGACAAGGAAGAAAGACTAGTCTACACAGTCGTATAGATCAAACTGAATCAGTTGGTGATCAATTTCCTGCATTTGCTTTACATTGTCCAAGTGTAGGGTGTTTTACGAAACTAATGGAGACCTGTAGCTCCACTCAATCTCAGTGAAAGGGTTGTATATAAACAAAGCAAAAAATGAGAAGTAAAGGGAGGAAGACAATTACATAAACAGTAGTAGATTAGTTCTAAAGGTCAACGACATGTTACTGGGGATGATGATCACTGAGTAACTGGTGATATTAATTTACAACATATTGATCAGTCAAAATATCAGAGGCTTGAACACTTTCCATGTATACCATTCAACCAACTTCTAAAATGAGCATCATTTTTTTAACGTCATGATTTGCCGGGTTAAGCATTTACTTTGATATGAAAGCGCTGTATAGTGGAAAATAGTTGCTTTCCGTTGGAATCCATTGGTTCATCCTGACAACCTGTGTAAGACCCCAGAAACCATGTACATAGTGGTTTTCAATGCCATCACATATGATTCCTAATCAAAATCAATGGGGATTCTGTTGCAGTTTTCTTCAGTGTCTTGCTTTAGCAGTACAACAACCTTGAAACAAGACAATGCGAACTCTCTTTCTTTATTTGGGTCGTTTATTATTGCTATTGTTCTGAATATTATCATCTGATCACTCTTCTTCCATATCTCCAGATGTAACGTTGTGGGGAGAGATTCGTCAGAAAAAATCAGATGAAACCAGGTGACGGTTACATTAAATTTAATGAAAACACCAAAACTGAAACATCTTGACCATTAGGTTTCCCTTCAACGCACCGAAAATTCGCTGCGAGACCTAGTGGTCCTGGTTTCAATTCCAAAAGAGATCAGGGATATGCTTTAATTAGTTTTTCTATTTGCATCAGTCAGAAACTGTATTAAAATATAAATTAACCAAAATAATGACCGAATAACTACATGTAATCTAGTTTATGAACTACGAGTTTCCGCTAATAAGCTAAATGTCAATTTAACATAAATAAACATTTCACAAATAAAAATTATATTCTACCACTATCACGAAAACTTACCACCATCTCGACGGTCAGAATGACCCGATAGAGAAGATTTACAGACACTATCCATAACATTGTTAGCGTGAGTTGAATTCTTTGAGTTAGATTTCATTGTAAGTTTACCTGAATGGTTTGGTTTCCTTGACATCTGACGTTGTTCCTTTTGTGAACTGCTCACCGGAGGCGATGGTGAGCGTATACTTTGTCCTCTACCTGGGCCACTTCGAGGCTTTAATTGGGATTTCAGAGGAGGAAGTTGTGTGTTTCCATTGGAACCTTCATCTTCACTTGAACTATAAACAGTATGTACTTGTGCAGGAAATGTCCACTGATGCATTTGTTGATATTGATAAGAATCACTCTCATCAACAGGTGATTCCAAAATATTATTAACCCCGCCAACCTGATCACCTACAAAAATGTTTATTGATGAATTATGATTTATATTTGGAAACGCAGACAGAAACATACAAAGGAATAACAACTATGAGAAGATAAAACTCACATAAGGCTTTAATTTAGAAATCCAAGTAAAAATTTTGAAAAACAAGACAGGTTACCAGAGGACTATTCATTATCCAGAATTACTAACCTGATATTTTCAAATACTTGAAGTCGATGTAGTGGGTGCTCCAGCTACACTTATATTCAATCCGAAAACCCTCTAATACTACTGACCACAGCTGCCTATTCAATAGATACTTTTAAACATGCGAACGCATGTACCATGTATCAGAAACAGTCAAGCAAAAATGTATCGAGTAAAGCGAACCTAAATACTGAAATGTAATTTCCTTATGACTTAAATTTACAGTTTTCATCAGGATCCAATAAAGTATATCGGTTAAGGTTACCCTTAAAAGAAGCAAATTAGATTCTGCCTTATTTCCAGTTACTACACAAAAATAGTAGGAAAATAATGAAAGTAAGAACAGTAGTAGTATGAAACTCTACAGTGTAATATGTTGTCTGAAGAAAACGTTTTTGAGCTAGCTTTGATTTTGTCAGTTTTCGCCTGTGAGTCTATCTAAATGAAGTGAGCACATGAATTACAGTAAAAACAAACAAAATAATGCATTCGAATAAAAAAGAATTTATCCCGAAGAAACAGTAACCGAATTACTTTGATATGATTGTGAGCAAGAATTTGTGCTCAAAAGGTCATCAAGTAAATAACACGGTATCACTGTGTTATACCAAAAATAAAATTAATACGGAATTACATTACTATATGCATATAAGATTTCCTTGTCTTCTCTCTGGTTGCCATGTACCTCGTACATCGCGTCGATTTGAGGTAGGAGGAATTTGGATCCTTATACAGTAATCCTGAATTCCATTTTAATGATATCTGTGAACTTCCAACTACAGTATTTCAGATATTTTCAGATAGCAACTAACACTGCAAGAGAGTAATTATGCATTTGTGACACGATTATAAGCTCTAAACTTGGCTTTTCAATGTTATACAAAATCATTATCACTTGACACTAACATTCCTTAACCCTTCTGAATACAGTACTGGAAACTGGCCCACTGTCTTACTGTTTCTACGTTTCCATCTACAAATTCGCTAAATGCTACAAGACCAGGTGTTGCTTAGTGATAATTGTGTAACTAAGGGATCTTATGAAAATCAAAAACATAAAACGTGTGTTTGCTGCGTATTTCTAGATGGAAAAATGCCATTCTGGACAGTTAGTACGGTATTTACTCATTACAATCTACTTGAAATACGTCAGCTAATGTAGATTTGCTGCTTTTAAATCCACACACACACTAACGTTGCTGAATCAGAGCCTACACAAAAACAGAGCTGAAAACTACTGGTCAGGTTAAAAATACTTCCGGTTTATTCGAAATAAAAGGTGGTAAATTATTTGTACACTGCACTACAAAGTATCGTCGGCATTGACCGGTTTTATACAGTATCCTGCTTTAGTAACTTCGGCCTGGACAACCGGGTGGTATCATTAGCCTTTTCGCCGAAAGTGTGCCTTATAACCTAGTGTTTAAACATGAACCGCGGGGAGTTACAACTAAAATTCCATCATTAGATAGCTGTCATCATTATTAGAATAAGACATGGTCATCATGGCAACGAACAATTTCATATTTAGATGTTGCTTTGGATAGAGGCAATCGGCGAAAAGTCCAAGAACTAGGTTTCGTGCTTCTTAGCACGCGTCGGCAAGATGTACTTAAAACCTCGATGGAACAGATGTCCCACCCGAGACTCAAATCCGTGTTATCCAAGGGTGCAGTCAGAGAAGTTACCACTGAGCTATTCGGGCTGCGACTGACTTACTGTAGGAGTGGCTTAAGTACACTGACTGGTCACGGGAAAGTAACCAACTTCCTCCCGATCGCTTTCATCCAGCTGGCATCTCAGTGCATCGTGATAGTGAGTCTCCTAGTTTGGTGATCACACTGCGAAATTATCCACAGAATTCTATTAGCACTTAAGACTAGACAACATCAGAGTTGGTTGCTCTCGAGTAACTAGTCAATGTAACTAACCCATTCTTACAGCAGGTCAATCGCGGCCCGGATAGCTCGGTGATAACGTCTCTAACTGTAGTACTGAGTCACACGGGTTTGAGAGTGGGACATTAGTTCCATCGAAGTTGCAAGCATGCCTTGCTGAGTACCAACAAGCATAAAACCTAAGTTCAGGGCTTCCCACCGATTGCCTTCATCCAAATAACATACATCTCAGTGCATGGCAATGACGAGCCTTTGAGTTTGATGATCAGATACCAAAATGATAGACAGAATTCGATCAGCACTTAGAACTAAACAATATGAAGTTGGTTATCCTCCAGTGACCAATCAATGTAAATAATTTCACATTGGTTTACTACACACAAAATATCGTGATATTGCAGTGTTTTCGAGGTGATAGTAAGACGTAATTTAATACTTCACACTACATTACTTATTTAATATAGCAAACAGTGATACACTATAATTTACTGGATAACGTTTTGAGAATGCTTTATTTCATTCCCGTGTCCTACATCATATAAGCTATCTAGTATGGAATTACAATCTATCAAAGTACCCAACATTTACCCTCAGTGTAATCTAATATTCATTACCATGGCAAGATGTAACTGTAAAAATGAGTTCCTAATGACACCACTAGTTGTCTTTTTACAGTATTACATGGGTTTGGTAAATTCACTAGGTCAATAATACAAAAGCCAGTTTTCAGTGAAGTCAACATGTTCATTTGTGCAACTGTCAATTTCCTGGCAGGTTTGTCTAACCATCATCTATGAAATACACCGTCTAGTAAAAAATGAGTCACAATCATAAGAGCATGGAATAAAACTGAAAGGCAACATGTACAGAGGGTGGAAGCATATTATGATAAACAATGTGAGCTGTCAAAGTACTGCATACACAGTATCTAAATCACTAACTTCCTACATGGCAAGGAAATCTTTATGAAAATGAAAATGAACAGGAACAGACAGATAAACGTTGAACCTGGGACAGAAATGAATTGTTTCAAATAGTCAACAGCATGCAAAGAAGCATACACAAATGATATGAAGGAAAACAAATGTGTATGCGACAAAAAATAAACAGATGAAGATCGATCGAATTTTCAAGACCTCGAAGATGAAAAAGTGTGTACACCTGCACCACTGTAACCAGTTTTCAACCATGTCACTAAGAGTCTCTAAATGTCGATAACTATAATCTTCCAAGCCCCAACCAGGCAATGTGTAAAAAAATTTACGGCTCATGTCATTAGGCAATGACTTCAGGGAGAAATGTTAAGTCCTGATTTAACCACCCTTAACCTTCTTGCAACCCAATCCTATTTCGGCTAACATCGCACGCAGAGGTAGACAGTGCCTCGGCATGCACAATATGTGTACAAGTCACTTCAGTCTCTGAAGGTTTGCAACTTCAACGACTGACCTGGCTTCTTTGTTTAGTACCCTAAGCTCGTACGTTGATTCCACTATACATAAGAAACGCTAAGACGACATTGAAACTAAACTGCATACTCAAATCCACCTCGGTAAATATTTCACTGAGTTTACACAATACGAAATAAAGTAGTAATATTAAAATGGATAACTCACAAAGAACTTGGTTAGGTATATTGTCATCTGTACACTCGACAACAGCTTGAACGGTATGCTTCACGGTTATACTTAAATTTCGAAAAGAAATGAAAATAACACAGTATATTAAAAGATTGTGAAGCAGCCAAAATGCACAAATTTTTCAAGGGAATTTTAAATTATAAAAGGAGTGAAAAAGAAAATAAGGTTTTCTTGTAGTGTGTCTTTAAGAATCATAAAACAAAATCCTTTTGGATTTAAATACATTAGACCAAGGAGAATTAAGCATATTATTCTACCTTAGTAGCTTAATGATGGATAATTTTCTCAGACAGACAAATAAAAGTTGAGCCACGGTCAGAAGTGCATTGATTCAAGTTACCACAGCTCACATTAGCATAGACGAAAGTTTATAAGATAAAAGAGAATTAATAGATCAAGGTTGATGGACTTTCAAGATGACAAAGAGTGTAAACGTCTATCGCTGATTTTGAGCCGCCGCCATCGGCCCTGAGTTTCACCATTACTTTGGTTATAGTAGTATCATCGTTTCAGTAATTCTGAATTCCTGCAATGTATTTGTGAATGGAAATCATCAATAAATAAACGAATTAATTCTGTAACATTAGCTTCGACGACTCTAATATTTTTATGCGTGTGATTTAAGTGGCTTTTCTGATGAACAATGCTTACTGCTGCCCGACTGAAAGAAACAGGAGCTAGTTATTCCATGACATGGCATTAAGAGACGAATAACTGTGAAAAGTTAACATTTTTTGATGCCTCATGACTGCCTAAGGGTCATTAAAGGATCGCACCACTCAACAGCTTTAGGCATCATCAGGTATAGTACAAAAGCGCTCTTTGTATTCATTTTAATTTTATTTCCTCCACTGAGTAATTCTGTCGGTTCTATCATACCAAATGCTTTTTAATGTCATGAAAATTGGAAATTCGGCGCGCAAGCACTGGATTCCTATTCGAGTAATCAATTGAAAGTGAAACTGATTTGCTGATACTATATATAATTCTCATTAACATGATGGTCACCAAAAGTCCTTACAAAATTCTTGCACTACAAGCAACTCCGACTGAAGTAGATTGTTACTGTCGACTAATAAATGTTTTCAACGCTTGTAAAAATCATAAATAATCGCAGTCCTTGCAAGATATGACAATACATACGGTTATTGACTGCATTATATTGATAAAAAGATAAGAACGATAAGTCACTGAAATGAATCGGTGACAATTAAACCAACATCGACGAATTAAAGATTGCTGTTCTAGATCTTATGATTGATGAACTAACTAGTACAGAATTTTACACAACACTGGAGTGTGGTGGTTTAAGTCTGCGAAGTCTTAAATCACCACACGCCATGAATAGCAATAATGATGCTAATATGTGTCCAGGAGAGAAAAATCATATGTAATAACACATGACTGGCTGCGTGAGTTTCCAACCATCGACTGAAGTCTTTGCAAAGACACATCTAGAAACATTACCCTATACGGTTTAAACCAACAGTCAGGACTCATTTTGTGCTTCAGTTTGGCTATGCATAACAATTTTGTAACCACTTCTACTCGAGTTTACATCGCACATCGCACTACACCATGAACAGGCATGCTTACTACGTATCTCAGACACCTCCATCGATAAAGGTTTCCGACCGCATCAAACGACTCACCGCTGTTGCTTGGGACTTTATGCTTAACTTTGAACTTGTTGGTTCCATGACAAGCGGCTAGTGCTACGAAGTCAGTGATGGTTAAACACCCTGAGATTAACCGTATAATTCACTTTCAACATTCATATTTTATAGCTACTGAGTAAGAGAAAATTAATTGTACAAAACAAATGACTCTTGGCATTCAGGAATATTGCCGGTGCTAAAAGAGGTGTATAGTGGACAAAGCTAACCAACACTTCTGTATCCGTGATGACATTGATTCAGACAAATCTACTATGACTGATGCGGCTTTCCAGATGGTAGTCGCGCTCAACCACTTATCCTACCGTTTTTAGACGAAGTATTACTGCAGAGTAGTCCTGAAGAAGCAGTTCATTAGAAAGGTGAATCTAAAAGAGACGTAATTGTTAGTCCTTCAACACTCATCAAATCTGAGAAGGCTTTTACAAGCCGCAAACAATACACCAGGAGTTTTCAAGGATGGAGACACAAAATTGCTGACTAGAGTACCGGAGGTAATAGGTAACACAAAAGAATCAGAGGGAGTTCTGCCAGAATGGTATATATCGTTATTCAAGTTCATCAGGACAGAAGTCTTCTAGAGACAACCACAGGGAGATTAGTTTGAATAACACCATATCAAATATTTCAAGAGTTATACGAAGTATAACGAGAGCTCAAGAACAAAAACCTTGAGGAAACCAGCCATGATTTAGACCTGGACGGGGTGCATCATTTAAATCTCTTCTTTTTGATAAATACTGGAGCATATACACACTTACTGGTGATCGACACTTGCCAAACTCTTTAGGATGGCTGTGGTATTCGACCCTATCGAATAAAATGTGTTGTTACATTGTCTGACTTTGAAGCCGGTACCGAGAAAATATGTAATGTTAGTCAAGACTCTTTTCTTGAACTCACAGGTCTATGCAAGGGTTTATAAAGAGATGCTGTTTGTAATGATGGCAAACAGTAGTGTCCGGAAACGGTACTCGCTGTCATCATTCCTGTACGAAATTTTTATCCACGTGCTATTGGAAATAATCTTAATTGCCTCCGACCCATAGAAAATTGACTAACTCCAAGGAGGACATTTGATTGACTTCGAGTACGCAGACGATACTATCTTGCTAGGCAAAGACGCTGACAAAATACATGAATTCTGAGCACGTTAGGCAGAAATCTGAGCATATTTGGCATGAGCTTCGCACCTGCCGATTGTAAGATGATGCTTCAGCACTTGTCTAAAACAACTCCGAGTTTAAGGATGGGGAATAAAAAAGTGAAACGCCTTGACAACTTCAATTACTTGGGGAGTTAAATCAGCCCAAATGGTTCAATTGTCAACGAAATCTCAGCTCAGGTACAAAAGGCCAGTCAACTTAAGTTATCTCTGCAGCTAGCAAGATATCCGAATAACTACTGAAAGACGATGCCACTGCAGTGAAGTCTACTCTGTACAAGTTGATACACCACATCGAAATGCAAGGAAAAAGGGTAAAAGATAGAAAGCGGAAAAAAGCAGTAACAACACGTACAAAGTCATAAGAGAGGAACACTCAGTAAAAATATTGAAGTGCGACTAGAATAAAGATAGTATACAGATGCAGCTGCCCCACATATCCATTCCAAGTCATATCACCTACAGTCTCTAATCATGGATTCCGGCTGAACGTGGACTTCAACCAGACAAACAGATAAAACCAACGTAGAACCTCGACCGATAGCTGCTACCTTGACGTGGCAGTCGGCCTTGCATATCACAATGACCCAACGAGCTATGCTGGTGGAACGCTTGTTCTCTCGAGGTCCTACCATACCAGAAAGGTCTGTTGGATAGTGGTTAGACGAAAAGCAGTTACCGTTATAGTGTAAATTGCTACACTATGATTGGGGTCTGAGGGCGAAGTCGTACTGCTGCTAGCGGGATGGGGTGTAACAGCAGTAAGGTGTTTCCCTTGGATGACCAGCAGTGCCAAGCTGATGCTGCCTTCTCAGTGGAAGGGAGAGTTAGAAAAGGTCGACCCCAAAAATAACACTCTCCACCATGACCCACGGTCTGCCGGGCCGGCGGTGGTGGTTCATTCGTCGTTTCCTTTCGACCATCCGGCCCCAAAAATACAAAAGCTTAAAATAACCATACACAAAAAGCTGGGTGTGACAGGCCTCAAGCAGATATCCGATGGGCTCTGCGGTCACACAAATCTCTTTTAGGTAACTTAAGCAGAAATAGCCTTCCACGGTGTGGGCAGCCGGGAAGTGTCAACCGCCCTCACAACTCTGTCAGCACCCGAGTTTCTTCTGACTGCTATCCTCCTCCTCCATCATTACCTTCTAATCTTCCTTCACGTCTCTTAATTAATGATGCTGCATCATCTTCAATTTCTCCTACCTCTGCAGCCTTCGACAACGATCTGAGTCCACAGAACAGCATCCCTGGTCTCCTTAAACCACGCTCCAAATTACATATTGGAGCCTTCATTGTCCGCACCCTCCGTCAAGTTGGTTAACAAGCTTCGTTGGCAAAGACTCTAGCAACTCGGGGCATGGATGTGGGCTGTGTTTGCTAGACCCAAGTGCGGTTATACACCTGACCTCTCCCGACCAATCTGGTGAGTTCACGAAATTCACCCTTTGAGTTTCTGGAGATTCGTTAGCTAGCTCTTGTGGTCTTGCAGGTGTAGGCATAGCACTAAGCACTAGGGCAGAAAACTCACTACTAGACTGGATCCCAGTTAGTCGCCTCTGCGCTATCCGACTGAACGGCATACTGAGAACTAAAAGGAATAGGGAGACTAGCTGTTGTCTCTTTGTAATCTCCGCTTACGCACCCACTGACTGTAGTTCATACGAAGTGAAGGACGAGTTCTATCGTAAACTGTCTGGCCTCCTCTCGAAAGCAGCTTTTTCCGAACTAATGAATGCACGTGAACAGATCCCTGCCTGCAGGCTCCGAGTACAATGAAGAGCGGGCACAGCTCAAAAGTAGACTGAGAAAGAGTCTACACAACGACCGCGAACAGTGGTGGGCAGCGAAGGCTAAAGAGATGGAAAAGGCAGCGACGATTGGTAATAGTAGACAGTTATTTAGACTTATTGAGGAAACTGGGGGGGGGAAGGTCAACAACAGTTAGTGAGGCTATAGCGGAGGACGGATGTGCGATTCACTAGCAGGGGAGACGACTAGAACGATGGGCAGAACACCTCGAGGAACAGTCTAACTGGCCTTCAGCCACCATCACGTTCCCCGCTATCCAGTCAAATCCTGAATGGGACGTTGAGGTGTGCCCCCCAACACTGGCGGAAGTCGAAAATGCAGTAGGTAACCTGAAACGAGGAAGGGCGGCAGGACCAGACAAACTAACTCCTGAGGTATACAAGGATGGTGGTAAGGTGCTCTTAGTCACGTTAACGGAAGTGTTGACTAGTACGTGGGAATTAAATAGGATCTCCTTTGACTGGTCTAAATTACTGATTATTCCAGTCTTCAGGAAAGGCGAGAAGTCTTGTGATAGTCATAGAGGAATCAGCCTGACGAACATAGTGTCTAAGATCCTAGGTTCTAAAATTCTCCGACGCCTGAGTGGAGCTGGGGAACAGCAAGCCCGAGGAAACCAAGCAGGCTTTAGATCCGGCCGCGGGTGTATCAACCAAATATTCACACTGTGCTAGGTTCTGGAAAATAGGCACGCTTACCGACACCCAACACTAGCTGTATTTCTCGACCTGAAGGCGGCATTCCACTCCGCTGATCAAGAAGTCTCTCACTGAAAGGCGTACCGAGTAAATACATCACCTTATTGAAGGGTCTCTACTCAAACACTTGTGGGCATGTTAGAGCCTATGGTGAGATGTCCAGGGAGCTATGGTCATCGAGTGGTGTCCGTCAGGGGTGCCCATTGTCTCCATTTTTATTCGATTTTATCATAGATATTCTCATGGAGGTCTCCCTCTTGTCACCTGATTACAGACACTGACCTAATCGGTGGAGAATTTTCACAAGACCTAGAATATGCAGATAACATAGTCCTGTCAGGTGAAGACGTTGACAAGATGCAGAGTCTTCTAGATACCTTGAGTGGCAATTTGAAAATGTTTGGGATGAGTTTTTCACCACCCAAATGGAAATTGTCGCTCTAGGATTGGTCTTCAGCGGTGCCACGGCTAACAGTAGAGAGTGTAGTGATTGAGTGTGTCGACCACTTCACTTACCTGGGGAGTAGGATCAGCCCTGGTGGCTGACACAGCCCCCTGTGTAAGTGAAGTGGTCGAAACACTCCACTAATTCATTCCCCATCATTTATTTGGGATTACTTGCAGTAGACCAGTCCTGGAGCATCATCTCCCATTTCACAGGTACCAGTAAAACGCATGCTAAACATACTTGGATTCCTGCTCAACGAATTCAGGACACCCTGCACTGCGTCAACGTCTTCACGTAACAGGACAATATCGTCTGAATATTCTAAGTCATCCAGATAGCCTCCAAGGAGCGGGTCAATCCCTGTGAAGAAAGACGAACTTAAGGTTATGTCCTTTTGCACGTCTATAACGAAGCTAAATGAGAACAGTGATGGTGCGCATCTTTGGCGGATGCCATTAGCTGTCGTCATTTCATGTGATAACTTGCCATGAGCCTTTACACGGCAGCGTGAGTTGGAGTATATATACTTGCTCGGTACTCGCTTCAGTCAGACATTGTCACAACACCTCATGATCGACAGTCAAATGCTACCTTCAGGTCAAGAAATATGGCAAGTGTCGACCATTGGTCAGTGAGTATGACTGCTTCACGACTTTTTGGAGGGTGGAAACATGATTGTCTAGGTCTGAAACCTGACTGGTTTTCTCGAGTTTGCTGTTCTCGAGCTCCAGTTAGGTATCGGATAACTATGAGTCCTAGGATCTTGCACACGACATTATTCAAATTAATTTCTCTATGGTTGCCACAGGAAGACTTCTCCCCCTTCTTATAAATTGGGATGATCAGAGACTTCAAACAGGATCTCTATATTTTTCTACACATCCAAGGCTCACAGTCGGGAATTTCTTGAAGTGATACCTGGATTTAGTTTTTCCTAGCTTTGATTTTTTGCCAAACAAGAGGTTTAAGGTAGTTTAGGTATGGTATGGTTATGCTGATTCACTCATTCAGTAGAAAAGACATGATGTTACCCCAGACCCACTAGTTTTGGCTCTCTCCTATGTGGCAAACCGGTGGTCATGGTTCATACGGTTTTCACATGGGGAATACAATTCTTATGAGCCCATTAAGCTACAGTTTAGGAAGCTTTGACTGGAAAACAAACAAAGGAAAAGTGCGCTAATCCTTGGTTGTATTATCACAAAGTAATAAAGTGACTCATGAACATTCTCACACCCTGTGTCATGCGAATAACCAAATAATCACATTTACTTACTCTTCTCCGACCCCACTCAACTGATGACTGAAAGCAGAAGCCATTCCCACTTTTGATACTGTGTACTGAAGATTACTTTCTTCGTTGGAATCTGCTACTTCGGTTTTCTGATCTGTTGAAATATTTGCATTCACGGTACTTGCCATTTTTTGCTCACATGAATGAATGTTTGTTCTTGTGTGCTCTGCAGCACTCAAAGTTCGTTTGATGTCCCTGATGTCATTAGAGATATCACGCACCAGAGAAGGGTTTAGCAGTGTTTCTCCTATGGGGCTTACAGTACCGGAATTACCATTAGGCCTACCACAATATACATCTGTTACTGAATCGGGGCTGCCAGAAATGGAGTGGATATTGAACGAAGATTCTATTGTACGAGGTCTCGAAGCATAGCACGGACTAAGTGAATCACTACCACTTGAAAGTCCATCCTCTACAGAAGGCATCGTTACAGAACTACACATTGGATAGAAAGTAGTTTGAATCGGTACAGTCGAGGATAAAATGCCGTTCCCAGTCTTCTCTCTATTTATATCAGACATCGCTTTCATTCTATATAGGTTTTCTGAATGGATGCTTGCGAACTTTTTCCCCGAAAAAGGAGATAAAAGAACCAACTGGTTTGAAATATCTGAAACATCGAAATTTTTTTTGTCTTCACCACTGGAGTCCAAAGGGATATCGGACAACTCGCTTTCTGGAAGACACGCTGCCGAATCGCATGACCCAACTTCTGGAAATTTCTGAGAGTTTCTTGTGTTTTTCGGAATCGGAGTATCTATGTGACGATGCGAGACAGGATCTAAATGGCATTCTTCCCGACATTCTCTGCAAGTGTTCAACAAAGTTCCAGAATCTCCATTACTATTTTTATTGTTATTACTTGGAGATGATTCATCCTGACCAGGCTTAACTATGCATTTTGGTCCATTGTAAAGTATTTCAGATGTGAACATTGAAGGCAAACCATATATCAGCGTAGTTGAGCCATCTTCATGAGAAAATACACCAGGGCTATTTCGGCCACAATTCTGTGTACTAGTTTCGTAAACCGACATAATTAGTTAAACTGCTGGGTCATCCTCGTAACCTCCTATATAACTTATTGTAACGCTACGGTCTAATACAGCCGCTGCCTTTTTTCAATATCCATTATGTTTAAAGTAAATGTCGCAAGATAGCAGTTTTAGAATTCTCACGTCCATTTCTTATAGCCAGTAGCCCCTTGCGCTTTCTTATTCTGACAGGCTTTGTGACCTTACTTTCTTTCTTCGGCTTTTCTCAAAGGGATGAGATATCTTCAAGTTCACTTAAAAGATTTTAGACCCGAAGTGCTAGGAAGTTCGATGTTTTTTATGTAACTGCTATTCTTATTGAAACATGTCACATTATTTAAAATAAGACCACTTGCTTACTCAAAGACATTACTTCACATAATTTTCAGTATATAAATCTGAGTCATTCGAAATTCTTGTTATGGAATAGCAACGTCTTTCTTTCTTTGAACTGGTCTCGGCTTTTGAAGCCAAATTGTCATTGGCTTGTTATGTCTTGAACCAAAATGACAGTATTCTTACACGTGTAAATAACAATGTAGTGCATGTATCTGTCAGTGACGGTTGGATGGCTGTTCAATCTACAGGGAAAATTATATCAGGTCAGCAACCTGAGTTAAAACAAACAATCAGCAACGCTAGAGAAACCTAACTCCAAGCTAAGAGTATCGTTGTGAGGTGCAGACGGTGTGGGCCTCTATAGGAGGTTCTACAGGTTCAAAACATGCTACAAGGGGTGAGTTTCCAGATTCAGTTTTGTCGTCTGAGGATAGGAGGCTGTGACCCTATGTTAATCCTTTTCCAGTAGATTTCTGTTCTTGATCAACCCCGTTTAGAATTAGTCAATTTATGACGTAGACACTACTTCTTCTAGGAGTCGGTTCCAGGCGTTGATCACTCGAAACGAGAACCAACACTCTACGGAGACCATGTTCTTTCTTTGCATTTGCTGCCTCCAACTATATCCTCTGAGTTCTTCTGACTTAGTGGGAAGGAAAAGAGAAGATAGATCAGGTCGGAAGTCATTTCTTAGAATCCCGTATATTATGATCAGGTCTCCTCTTTTTCTGCGATAGGATAAAGTGAAGAGGTTCGGCTCCTTAAGTCGATCCTCATAAGTTAGGTCAGACATCGCAGGGACCATGCGAATGGCTGGCCTCTGACCTCTTCCTAGAGGCTCTGCGTCACCTTTCAGACAAGGTCTTGTCACCTGCGTACAGTTTTCTTATGAAGACCCAACCGAGGATCTGTATAACATGGTGAGCGTGTCAACACTTCGTAAACGTTCTACGTAATCCCCCAGAAAGTCTTAAACTCCCAGCTGCTACCAATCGAAAGTGAGCCGTGGTTTTCGAGCCTCAACTCACCGTGACTACTGGGTCACTTCGGGTCAGAACTGATGATAGATGAGTCCCGCTTTTGTCATAGGTGTTGCTGTGTGTGTGTGCCCCAAGTGCGTGCTCACACATTTACATACACTGACAGGCATCAGCCCCTTCTCTGACCAGATAAACAATCATTTTAGTTCTAACTGAGGCACTCGTATAATCCCATCGTTCCTAATTCCCCACAAGACTTTTACATCATCGGTATGGAGAACCATCGAAGATTTCGTGAGATTCGGCAGCTCATTTACGTAAAGGAGAAACAGCAGGGGGCCCAGGACTGTGCCTTACGGCTCTCCACTCTCTACCGACTTCCAAGAGGAGAGTTGGGAATTGATACTTACTCTTTGTCTCCTACCAATAAGGATCTCTGTAATCCATGCAAGCAGACTGCCCGTGACTCCAAAATTTTCCAGCTTCCTGAGCAACACGGAATGGTTTCCTTTTCCAGTGCCCTACCAAAGCCTACGAAAACGACATCTACAGGTATCCTGTCATCTTTAGACTTAACGCAACTTTCTCTGACCGTGAATAGGTTTGTCGAGCAAGAGAATTTTCTATGTAAGCCATGCTGCGAATGAGACAGTGGAGTGTTGCCCTCTGAGTGGAGTGTGATGGCCTTCTTGATTACTCTTTCCAGGCCTTTTACTGCGGTACTAGGCAAACTTATCAGTCTACAATTTGACGAGTGCTGCCTAGAACCTGTCTTGTGGATAGGTGTTATTATGGCATCCTTCCAGTCACAGGGGTGTCTTCACTAACACACAGTCTAAATATAGTAGTCAGTAGGCCGGCTACATAGAGTACAAGATGTCTTTGCGGCCTTGGGTGCAGCTCATCATGTCCCGTTGACGCTTCCACGCAGAGATTAGTTAATATCTGAACCACATCACTGAGATCGATTCTTAGAGGATAGCGATTTCACAGGTGGTCATCGTCTAAGCGAATTGTTTCGAGGGTCCAATTCAGGGGACAGTTTGGCCAATCAAATTTTGATAATAATGCGATGTTAAGTGATGAACACACGTTCGTTTAAAGCCTTTTCCAGAAACTGTTTTCCCGAAACCAACACAGCTCGCGCGAACGGTGATGGTGACATTTCAGGCAGTTGCGGTCGATGGCCTGGTGAACACGGCGGATAAAAATTCGGGATCACTGGTGGACCTGCTGAAAATCTCACCCGAGAATTGGAATTACTTCACTGGCTCAGTCACATCAATTTTCCTTTTCTTGGTTCAAGTTGTTTTCCTCAAGGTTAATCGTGTTCGCGAGCTCACTCAGGACTATGGAGTTATGTGATGGGAAGCGACGTGTGAAAATCTTATGACATTACCCTACAGACTCGTAGCTAACGCTTATGTATTTATGTTGTTGACTTTGTGGACAATCCTGAGGAATCTATGCCCACAAACCTCGAGATCCGGATTGGAGGGTTTTCTCCTGGTGTTTTTGCTTGGTCAAAAATCGTTCTCTGGCGGCACTATGAGGCCTAGCGGCCAACATACTCCAGTGAGCTGCCACGGCTGCATTGAAAATTGCTTTCAAAGCGTACTCCGCACATGAACTCGTGTGTTCGGATTCAGATGTAACAGAGCTACGAAACTCTGTTAGAAAGCTGTACCTACTCGAATCTCTTGGCCACAACATACAAAGCCCCATACATTTATTTAATCCCATTACAGAAATTTGCAGGTCTGCTCCGTGGCTCAACCATGTATGTCGAAAACGCCAGATGGTGCTGGTTTCACAACACGCGCTAGGGAGACATAGAGTTGCCGAAAAAGGTTTTGTTTGCGACAAAATCTAAATTGCTGAAGTATCAGCTTCCGCATTCAGGAAACTGGACGTAAAATAAGGATAAACAAAAGAAGGATGGGATTTTGTTAACAATCTAGCCCGTTGCCTGACACTTTGTGTGCTCAAATAGCAAGCCTGAGGTTGGGGGAACCTAATGATGCAACCTGAATAGCCTCCACAGTTAGGGGAATAAAGCCGTTAGCGGATCCTGAGGAGTGAAATTTAAGATTACTATCCATTCTACTATACCCAAGTTAACCTGAGCGTATTCGCCTACGAACCAGTATTACAGCATGGCATAAGCAAGTGATGGAGCCGATGATGTGGAGTATTCGGTATGTTTTTGCAAATGGCCGCTTAAGATGTCGATATTTTGAAGGGTATGGATCGAGTGCCGTATGTGTTTATCGTGCGCTTTGAAATTTAGTCCAGGTATTGAAATAATGTGAAACCACCAAGTGTGCTAGGATGCTTTTCACATTTACCAGGTGAAGAAGTAATAAGCACAGTTTCGGAACCTAGAAGAGTAAAAAAACGGGTGTTCAGATTTCGGTGGACACCAACATTTTGGTGGTGACATGTTCTGCTACCTTGATGGTTCAACCGTGGGGTCTTCATTGTCACTCTAGGTAAACTCAACGGCACAAACTTCAAGAAGAGATGAACTTTGGATTTTTCTCTGCGGCTTGGATACTAGCTTGTCCTGATGACGTTGAGGGCGACTGACCTTTTCTGCCAAAATCTTTTCATTTTCTCCTCGTTTACTTAGATTGGTCATCCTCTCGACGTGAAGTTTGACTTACTCCAAACTTTTTGTGTTTTTTACTGATCGACAGATTGGACGAGTACCAGGACGTCTGGAAGCACGCCACGACGCTTTATTAAATCATGTTCATAAGGACGGATGCGTAGATGGCTACCACTCCGTCTGATGTAGCGGTTTTAGCAATTTGTGCAGCTTATTTTGTTAGTAACATCAGGATTGTTTTCCTTTGCTATTACACCTTTCTGTCTGCATAACTGGGAATGGAGAGATTTTCAGGGCTTTCAGCGAATTCAAAATGCTCCGGTAGTCTAGTTGCAGTCTCAAAGACGTTCTTCACACAAGGCACGATGATCCGTGTTTGGCCTCCGGGGTTGACTGTTTGGTCGGTTGCGAATAGGGCAAACATTTTGATGAAATTTCTTGGATAGCCAATCTTCTTGCAAACGGGCATGAAATAGCTTTCTTTTCCCCCTAAGGATGATGAGCTTCAGCGTCTCTTCGCTCATTTGAACCGTGACACTTTTGCGACTGATTTCATTTTCACTGTAGTTGAGGAATCAGTCCGTATTAGTCAGCTTTCTATAAACTTCAGTCACAGATTTTCCACAAATCCCCTTTTGTTGTCAGCACACTTACAGCTGCACGCATTTTATTTGATTCCTTTCCATTCGGAAGTTTGATGTCCTGGGAACGTTGACGATTATTTTTCAACTTTTTCCAATTTATTTATTTCAAAGACGACAGGTGTTTTACCCCCACTCTTGATTCTACGTGTCGCTTTGATCAACGGCAGTACCATAGTTTCCAGTCTCTGCATTACTGCTTCTACAAGTAGTCCTAATATAGGTGACCTCTCATCAGGTCTAGGGGTTTAGACGTTGGGTTCACTGTCTAGTCTACCGCTTTCGAATTATGACTTCTGAATATCCGCCCAATAACGAGTATTACAGCTAGGCCAAAGCTTACAATGAAGTCGGTGATGTGAAGTATTTGATACGTTTTTATAAGTTTATAAGTTTAGGAAAGATGAAGACTAAATACAGATATGACCTTTC